AAAAACATGAAAAATATGAAGGATTCTGCCTTTCGTTACCATGGCAACCAAGCTGAAAATTATAGTGAGGTGGTTAAAAACAGCTCCTGACAGAACAATTTTTTAAATTCAAGCAAATAAATACTTTCACAACATCAATTACATGCTACAGTAACTATTTTGCTCAAAAAATGAAAATCGATTTTTTCAAATGATTCCATGTGTACCCCCGCCTTAAATAGTACATAACATACATATTATTGTATATATTTGGGAAATTGATCGTTGTGCAGTTAAAAGTACTGACATAGTTTTTAAACTATTTTTGCCATTTTATTCAAAAAATATAAAAAATTAAAAATGATTGTGTTTCCATGGCAACACACAACGCAGGCCTGCGTTCAGTGTTGGCCAATTACTAATTCTTCATGTTAAATTAATGGTTTTGAAATATAAGCCGGAATTGGCGAGGGTATGCTGCATTCATGTATTTCTATAGAATATAGTTAAAAGTGAGAAAGGCCGGCCCTATACTCGCAGAGTAGCAAGGAATCACCCGTAAGTTGCTTGCTGGTCATTTCATTTGTTAGTAATGCTTATTTGGTTTATCAAATTCGTCGACTAAAATTATCCAGCAGTAAGTCCACAAAGACAAACGTGGAGAGGACAAGTGGAGGAAATAATTCACGAGATATTCATTATAATTGTGACAGGGATGATGTCAGTATTTATGAACAAGTAGAAAATGAACAGTCGACGTACACTGCTCTCAAAAGGCCTTAGAGAGAGAAAGCGATGTTCACTTATATTGTCATCTGAATGAAGTACAAAATCAGAAGGAAACTGGAATTTAATGTCTTATTTACGCATAGTTAATTGACAATAAATAAATTTAGAAGACGTAATTGACACTAATAACTATTTTTAATTAAGGATTGGTAATTGCTTATAGCTAAGGATCTTGCGTGATATATAACGGTTAAAATTGTGTAGTACAGACATCGCGTTTATTTACTTGATCTTGAGTGACTTGGATGGCTGTAGGTTATGTTATTGTGTAGTGGGGTAATGAATAAAATGCAATTATTTGAAATGTGTATTTCATTTTTCATCACTAATGATGTGTGCATTTTCGACATATAATTAGCGTGTAGACATATAACTAGCACTGGATAGTGCATAAATATATCGAAAATTGAGCCAATTTGCAGCCATATATATTGGTGGAACCACGTACAGTACCACAAATTTTATATCGTATTGCTCACATGTTCTATGACCACTATTTTTATGCATGAAAGAAAAAAAGAAAGTCTGAATTTGCAAGTACGGTTGTTCGCAAAGGATTTTTATAGAATTGCCCAATTTTTAGGTAGAATTTTCCCTATTTGTAATTACAATCTGCCCGATTTTTCAGTATGGAATTGCCCGACTTTTAAGGCCAATCTGGCCAACGCAAAAATAATTGAGTATGATATAAAAAAATCAAAAACTTATTAAAGAAAATTTGAAGTTTGGGCTATATAACTATCAAGTGTCGATGGTGTAAAGGTCTCACTT